TTGTTTTTTCTAGTTTTAATTATAATGGTGTTCAAAAAAATCAATTTAATTTTGCAACTGAATTTCATTTGGTATGGAAGCTTTCGGTCATTCTATTTTCCAATAAAATGTTTAAGAAATGTCAAATAAGTGTGTTCGAGAAATAACGGTTTTATTACAAGTAATTTATTTTTGGCATTTATCTCGAGATCCATACAGTTTTCGAAAAATTTACATGGAGGCAAAAAGTTTCCACAATCTGAATCTATGTCCCATTGAAAGAAGATACGACACGCAAAAAAGTTCTACAGGGTTAAATTGGGTACGACCCCTGAAAGTCTATCACCCTGTAGGTATTCAAAAATGCTCAATAGCCTAAAATATTGAATTTTTGAAGTGTTTTAGGTGTACCAAATTTCAATCAATTATTCCGAAAATTGTAGGAGAAAATTCAAAAAGCATAAAAAAAATCTGAAACTTTGACACCCTGTGAAGCGGAAACGAAGCTCCCACGCATATATGTTTGTATGAGATTTTCATCTTGAAAAAATTTCTCCTTCGAGCTGTTGAAGTCCTGCTACAAGAAACTGAAACACCCTGTATATATACAATTTGGTCATTTAAGTGTGCAACATATAGGAATCTTTTTCATGAATTGCACAACCAAAATGCAGATGGTGCCAAAAGTTGGTGCATGTTCGGTAATCATTTTAGGTGCACTTAGAATGGTTGCAAGTCACACAGCATACAGGGTAGGTTAAAAAATATAAAAATTGCTCAAGAGTAAAGTACTCTTATTTCAGAAAATTCAGCAAAATGTTATTGAGAAAAGTTGTTCACAATTGAAAGTTATGCCTAAATACCAAAACATGGCCTCCTAAGATATGTTTCAGTTTTTCAATTTTGTTCGTGGATAATTTCCCAATTTGTAATGTTTTTATATTCACCCTGAATACTTCAATAAGTTAATCATAACAAAATCAGTTGAGCATACTTTTGTTCAAATTTAAGCATATTTGTGCAATTAACTTGGATTTTAATTTTTTTAGGGAATTACAAACTTTATGTTTGTTGCAACGATATTCAGCTCAACTTTTAAATTTCGTCAACCATGTTTTCAACAAGGTAAAACATCATTATTGATAATATGCATAAAATATTCGAAAACTTCCATTCAATGTGCACATTTTGTATTTAAAATATTACAAATTGGGAAATTATCAACAAACAAAATTGAAAAACTAAAAAATGTCATAGGAGGCTATGTTTTGGTATTTAGGCATAACTTTCAATTGTAAAAAACTTTCCCCAATAACATTCTGCTGAATTTCTTGAAATACCCTTATTTACTTTACTCTTGAGCAATTTTTATATTTTTTGCCTACCCTGTATGCTGTGTGACTTGGAACTATTCTAAGTGCACCTAAAATGATTACCGAATATGCACCAACTTTCGGCACCATGTGTATTTTGGTAGTGCAATTCATTAAAAAGATTCCCATATGTTGCACACTTAAATGACCACACTGTATGTGTATATATATGTGTAAAAAGAGTTTTCTTTTGAGTCCCACATCAGCTGCATCCCCACAAAACCTATACCTAATCTATTGATTTATACAGCTACTAATATTAATTGAATATATATATGTGTATATATATATATATATAAATACTAGCTGACCCGGCAAACGTTGTTTTGCCATAAACATTATTTCTAGAAGAAAATTTTCAGATAAATATTAGTCAGAAAACTTTCATTATTTTATTTCTACTCCTTTTTAGTTTGTCAATCAATACAAGCGGGATTCTTTAGTTTTTCAAACTATTCTATTTATTTTCTACTTCTTTTTAGTTCGGTACTCTATACCTTTCCATTTCTTCAAACTACTCTTCATTTTCTACTCACTTCTTTTTAGTTTGGCTATCTATACAAAAAGTGTTTCATCAGTTTTTCAAATTAATATTTATTACAATAGCTGATATCCGGCAAACGTTGTTTTGCTATATACAATTATTTCTAGGAAATATTTTTTTCGTTAAATATTTATCAACATACTTTTATTATTTTGTTTTCTAATTCTTCTCCGACCCCGAAAACACCCAGATACAAATTTTGAATAGAATCGGATCATAATTACAAAACTATCAGTTGTCATATTGTATCCTCCATCTTTAATTTCCTAATTTTGATGAAGAATCATAATCTCCGAACCCAAAATCCCCCAGATACAACATAGTTACAAAACTCGTCCGCCATAGTAAATCTGCCATCTTGGATTTCCAAAACCCCCTGATACCAATTTTGCATAGAATCTGATCATAATTGAAAAACTCGTCCGCCATATTGGATTCGCCATTTTGAATTTCCCCATTTTGACAAATGATTCATATCTCCGACCTCTAAAACCTCCAGATACCAAATTTGAATAGAATCTGACCATAATTACAAAACTCGTCCGCCATTTTGAATTTCCAAATTTTGACGAACGAACCATAATCTCCGACCCCGAAAACCCTCAGATACCAATTTTGAATATAATTGGATCATAATCACAAAGCTCGTCCGCCATATTGGATTCGCCATTTTGGATACCCTAATTTTGAATACCCTAATTTTGAATGGAATCTGACCATAATTACATAACTCGTCCGCCATATTGGATCCGCAATTTTGAATTTCCTAATTTTGATGAAGAAATCATAATCTCCGACCTCGAAAACCCCCAGATACCAATTTTGAATGGAATCTGACCATAATTACAAAATTCGTCCACCATATTGGATTTGCCATCTTGAATTTCCAAAATTTGACGAAAGAATCATAATCTCCGATCCCGAAAACCCCCAAATACCAATTTTGAATGAAATCGGATAACAATACTCGTTCGCCATATTGGATCCGCCATCTTGAATTTTCGATTTAAAAAATAGATTACGACCGATTCTCATACCTACCGAATACGCACAAAAAATTTCATACGAATCGGCCGAGCCGTTTCGGAGGAGTTCGACCACTGACACCGTGACCGGGACAGAAGAATTTTATATATTTGATGAAACCAGTGTATATTGGCGGTAGCAGCAGTGTAAAAGGAATACTCTTTAAAGTTTATCCAAGCTTTCGGAAATGTTTATTTCCATCATCAGGAATAATTTTTGGTGAGGTTGGTTACAACGTATTGTAAAAGAAACGGTGACTTATTGTGTAAAATTGATTACGTAGACACATAGGAGACTAACATTTGTACATCTAAAACCAACTGTTACTTATTTTGTTGTAAATTTAAAATTTTAAAATTTCTTTCAAGAATGTGAAAAATGTGACTTGCGGAAATTAAATTTTTTTTAACCAAATTTATCTCCTCTGTGTCTACATAATCAATTTTACACAATATGTCACCGTTTCTTTTACAATTTAATATATCGAACAACGTTGTAACCAACCTCACCAAAGATTATTCCTGATGATGGAAATAAACATTTCCGAAATCATGGATAAACTTTAAAAAGTATTCCTTTTACACTGCTGCTACCCCCAATATACACTGGTTTCATTCCTACTGGTCAGCAACGACTTCCCTTCCATATACAGTGTGTCCACCTTAAGACTTACCACCTCTGTAAAATTGTTATTATCTGACCGATTTCAAAAAACTTTTTTTTGTTGGATAGGTATTTGAAATTATCATCCAACAAGAGAGTAATTTTACTCATGAACTGTAATCGTGGCCAACTGCGACCAACTTTATTGACCCATATTTGAGAAAGTACTATTAGGGATTTTTTTTCACAAAAAACGATGATGGATTCTGAATCACGATCACTTGAAAAACACCTTTACTGATTTTTATCATCATGAAACACAGGGTGTCCGAAAAAACGAATTATGTTTTTTTTTTAATAGGTGATCAGAAATAGTAGTATTGTGGTATATTTGAGAAGAATTGATGACACATCATTATTGAGGATCACTTTGAACACATCTGTACCGATTTTCATCATTCAAAAATACGATGTGTATGAGAAAACAATTAAAAAGAAAAAGTAGGCAACATTTTTTCATCAACTAAAAAAAATTATTAATTTGATTTTTCGAACACCCTGTGTTTAATGATGATGAAAATCGGTACAGGTATGTTCCAAGTGATCCTGATTCATCTTTTTATTTTGAGTGAAGAATTATCAGGATGAAAAATATTACTTACCTATCCTTTTTAATTTTTTTCTCAGACACATTGCATATTCAGATGACGAAAATTGGTACAGGTATATTTGAAATAATCCTCAATGATAATTTGTGATTATTTCTTTCTAGAAAAACCACAGAACTAAATTTGCTTATCACCTATTTGAGGAAAATGATGATTCGTTTTTTCGGACACCCTGTGTTTTATGATGATGAAAATCGGTACAGGTATATTTCAAGTGGTACTGATTCAGAATCCATCATCAAGTTTGGTGGAAAAAAATCCCAAATGGTACTTTCTGGAATATGGGTCATTGAAAATTGTCGCAGTTGGCCACGATAACAGTCCAAGAATTAGATCACTCTGTCGTTGGATGGGCATTTCAAATACCTATCCAACAAAAAAAAAAGTTTTTTGAAATTGGTCGGATAATAACGATTTTACAGGGGTGGTAAGTCCTTAAGGTGGACACACTGTATATGTATATGTACGCCATTTCAAAACAATTTAAATTATTGAACTCCGCGTGATTCTTTGAAACAATTTAAATTATTGAACTCCGCGTGATTGTGCCTACCGCATGGAAATTTGAACAGAGGTGACGTCAGATTTGCTACAGTGTAGAAGAAAAAGGGGTCTAACCTCAAATGTTAATTTGATCCTTAAATTTTTTTATTAGTGCCATTCGATAGTACACGTCGAGCTTTCTCAGTGTTTGAAATATTTGCACTTATCTCAATGCCACCCTGTATATATATTTGATAATGTGTCACCCTTTACATGTAATGGAAGTGAAAAGTGAATATTAAAAATCATTATTCTTCGTCACAGAATCGCAAATGGAACCGTCCCACATCCACCTGATTGTCTCAACAATAATGAGAAAATTACTTCAAGTAAAAAAAAGAAATGAAATTTATCGGAAGGACTGTTATTCTACATCAAGATTGAATGAACTGCAATAACAGGAATGACGTAGCTTCTTTATAAGTCACATGATTCATGAATCAATTTATAATAATTAATATAATATGTTATAATAATGATAAAAAATCGATAATTCATCCTGAAAGTGTTCTGTCTTCATTAGTGATAAGATTATTGATGGCATTGTGACTCAAGATTGATATGAGTTGATATTAGACATTTTTAGAATATAACGATCCTGAGACGTCCAAGAATCAATTATAGTTCGATTCCTTGTACTGAAAATGAATTTATGGATTGATGGATAGATTACTGAATGTGCCTTTGAGTTAAAATTACAATATGTACAGTTGATCAAATCATCTCATTGACTTTATATGATTGGCATAGTGAAGTGTTTGATTGAAACGGTACCTGGCGAATCAGCCAATGGATCGAAAAATGGGGTGATCGCATCAACGAACCCGCTCTATCTTTCTGAAATAATTTCAATAATGTGGTGTTGCCGCTTCTACTAAAAAGTACTAGCAACTTTGATTTCGAACGGAACGCCTTGTATTTCTTTGCATTTTTAGAATCTACCAAAAGAGCTGATTTCATCAATGTATTACACTTGGGGTCTAGCGGAAATTATTACAGGGATATAGGGTGTTCAAAATCGAGATTTTTCTACTTAAGGATTTTTTTGGTATCCAAACTATTCATTATTAGTCAAAACGACTTAAGTACATGCCCCTATCTCAACTTTTGATTAACTATCTACTGACATTCAATTGGAACAAATATAGGGTGGTTCAAGATTCAGAATGCTGATCATCTTGTATCTGTTCCAGTAGATAGTAAATCAAAAGTTAAGATAGGGACATGTAAGCCATTTTGACCAATTATGAATAGTTCACAAAAAAATCCTAAAGTTGAAAAACTCGATTTTGAACACCCTGTATCTCTGTAATCATTCCCGCTAGACCCCAAGCGTGATGTATTGATGAAATTAACTCTTCAGGGAGAATCTAAAACGCAATGAAATAGAGGGTGTTTCATTTGAAATATTAAAGTTGCTACTACTTTTTGGTGCAAGCGGCAACACCGCATTATTGCAATTATTCTAGACAGTTAGAGCGGGTTCGTTTATACAATCACCTCAACTTTCAAATCGATCCATTGACTGTTTCGCCATGAACGTCTAATGAACCGTTTCAATCAATCACCCTGTATATTAATACTGCATGTAATGTTTTTTGTCCCAACATTTTTGACATAATACGCCCAATAACATGTGATTACTTAGAGTGCGATGTTCTTCGTCTGAATGTGACGTGTTATTAATTTGTCGAAACGTCATGGAAACATATTCCAGATAGATAAAATGATCCAGCTTCAATAGCTAGTGAACAAAAATAATCTAATGAAGAATTGCTCATATACGTCGAATTTTGTTTCATGGAAGATGTGTGTTGAATGTGTCTAGAAGTCATAACTATCGGGTCTGAGCATTTTTTCATTACACATTTTTTTCGTTCAGGAGTTGTTCAGGGTCGGTGAAGCCTAAGGTTGGCATGACGTTATAATATGACCGACACTCATTTTGATAACACAAAAAATTACGTATTCCCCATCATGTTGGTATTCAGCTAAATAATCAGAAATAGATGGAATGGTCCAAAAGTTTCATGAAAATGTGGTCAATCACCCAGTATAATTTGGATTGAATCAAGTTTTACTATATTCAGTATTTTCTCAAATCGTGACGCCAAATTGAGTGATCTTTCCATCAATCTCTACACATATTATATGATGCGAATTTCCAAAACACTAAACATCCCAAAAATACATAGCATATTTCATTATGTATCAATTAACCAGTGTTGAAAGATTTTGTGAAGAAATTTTTGAAAGTTAGTTCAAATATTTCCTTAGGTAGTACGAGTAGACGAAATTATTTTCGACGATTTGATTTGATCTTTATTTCAATGAGAAGTTAATTCCTGAGTGAAGATAAAATTACATTTATTTTCATGTAATTGTCGATTTTCTTGAACAATCACAAAGGTTCAAAATAAAAATCAATCAAAAGTCATTTTAGTCAAATTTTGTCATGACTTTTGAAATTTTTGTGAGATCTAGTATCCCGCCTGTATGTTCATGTAAACGATTTTCTATATCATGGAAAGATATTATGATATTCTTTAATTATAACAAATTTTTCAATTATTGAATTGCATAAATATAAAAAACTGTATTGCATATTTGCACGATGAATTTAAAATATTATTCATTATCACCAATATTGTTCTCCAAATAGTTGCCAAAAATGTATTCTTAGGTCAAGATTGGTTTACCCAAACTGTGATACCACACAACATGAATATTCATTAAAAAAAGGGAGATGAATTTTTTTTTTAGTAGACTGTAATAATGGAGATCTCGGTACAAATGGGAACAAATGAATATTATTGTTGACGGTATAGGCACTTGTAATTAACATGATTAATAGTATTTTTTTATAATCTTATATTTTAGAGATCTATAGATTTTATATTTTATTTATGTGTGAAATGATTTATCATCGTTAGTGCCAATAAATTTGTATCAACTATGATTACAATTATTCGATATTTTCAATATTGACACCTAGCAAATCCTAGATTCTAGTACCCTCTAATTCTATAATCCTATATGAATAGGAAATTTGTTTGAGTTAACGCAACAGTTATATTTCAAACATGGATAGTTGAATTCCTAGACATATTTTCTAGTAAAAATACATTTTTTCTGCAACCGACACAAAAGTCGTCTATTTTGATACCAAAATTAGCTCTTAAATTGACGTTTCTATTACTGACACAAAAATAGGTATGTTGCTAGGCAACATATTTAGTTCCTAGGAGCTAAAGTTGAATTTTAGTTCCTAGGAGCTAAAGTTGAACTTTAGCTCCTAGGAACTAAAAAGGATGTACTGGACGACATCAAGAATAAACAACATTGTGACGGTTGGTTATTTGGGTTGAGACGCATACCTGATTTGTTTCCGATTTCAGCAGATTTGGCATTTCATACCCATGCTGGAGATATAAATACACCTTATTATAGTTAAGTATTGGAATTATAAACATCTCAGTTGAGTATTTTTGTTTTGATCAGGGAAGCCTTCAAGATTCAAATACTTCACTACACTGTTTTACCACTAACCAAACCGATTTTTTAACGCCTCGACACGTGTTTCGCTAACTATGTTAGCATCTTCAGGAGAAGATTAAAACTAAATATCCTATTCTACTGTGCTGCTTATATACTAGGTATATGTTCACCCAACTGTGAAAAATACTAACCGTCAAGTTAATATTTGTCATGGTTGAGTTCACATGTTAATCTTAATTTATTAAACTATATAGAGGGCTATATGGAATAGGTCCATTATCCTTATTCATTACTCTATCACTATTCTTAAATATCTCTAAGCTTTCATATGCGTCTAGTTTTCTAATGTTATTAACTTGCTTAACTAATTTGAGGTTAGTAATATGTGTGTTATGATTGTGATTGAACATATGTTCGGCTACACAAGATTTATCTAACCTGTATCTTAATCTAATCTTGTGTAGCCGAACATATGTTCAATCACAATCATAACACACATATTACTAACCTCAAATTAGTTAAGCAAGTTAATAACATTAGAAAACTAGACGCATATGAAAGCTTAGAGATATTTAAGAATAGTGATAGAGTAATGAATAAGGATAATGGACCTATTCCATATAGCCCTCTATATAGTTTAATAAATTAAGATTAACATGTGAACTCAACCATGACAAATATTAACTTGACGGTTAGTATTTTTCACAGTTGGGTGAACATATACCTAGTATATAAGCAGCACAGTAGAATAGGATATTTAGTTTTAATCTTCTCCTGAAGATGCTAACATAGTTAGCGAAACACGTGTCGAGGCGTTAAAAAATCGGTTTGGTTAGTGGTAAAACAGTGTAGTGTATTATCGTGCCAAAGGTTCCAGTCTTCGATATATTCAAATACTTGCTTGATCTGTATATTTCATTCGTTATTCTCGGGATGGATAACTTGTTTTTGAATAATCACGACAAGCAATAGTTTTTTTGTCTCAAACAACGATATTGTTTAGCTTCATTCGATTATCAAGTCAAACACAGTGTAGTATGGGGAGGAATAAATAATCACTATTATCATTGTTGATATGCTCACTAACCTAACATTTTCCACGTCTTGTTCCTATAGCTGGCACTGGCGCGGTATTTGCCGTTAGAGCACCTGGTCCATACACAAATATGTCACTCTGTGGTTGTATTTATATTGAAACTACAATTCGAACATCCTTGAATACCTAACCTGCTGTTAATGCAGGTAGAATATTCTCACCACACGGATTATTTGTCAATATTTGTTGCATTGCATACATATGGCACGGCATTGGTGGTTATACTTCACATGTTTATTCGAGTTAATTGTTTCTGTTGCAGAAAAACTAGCATGTTTTATTCGGATCAAAAGTGACTTTGTTCGACTCGCAAATTTTGCTTTCGCTCGGCTTCGCTAAACGCTCCGCCTCGCAAATGCAAAATCCGCTTGTCAAACAAAGTGTCACTTTTGGTCCTAATAAAACAATCTACTATTTTCTTCAAGTGGCACGGATAGTGCGGTCACGGGTTCTGAATCTATCATGCTAAGGCGTTTAGAGTCATGGTATCTAGAAGGTTCAACAAATCGCGCCTTGACCTGGCTCTCTTACAAGAACCCTATAGTTATATGGAAGGAGAGTAGCGGGCTTGAAACCCAATGGTGAATAGGGGAAATCAAGACCAGCTGATGTGTATGTATATATACAGCGTGTCTCATTTCTCAGCACCAAAACATACGCTGATGCTCTTAGATTCCATCCAGAGAAGAGCCATTCGCCTGGTAGGAGACGCCACACTCACTCACTCTTTGACATCATTGGAACACCGTAGAAAGGTCGGCGACCTTTCACTTTTCTATCGATACTTCCACGGGAAATGTTCTT